GGTATTGCATGGATATATCATATCCCCTATCATGCACCAGCTGCTGGGAACGTTGAACAGTGTAATGGACTGCTTAAGACTACCCTGAAGGCACTTGGTGGGGGAACCTTCAGAAACTGGGAAATGAACTTACCAAAAGCCACCTGGATGGTCAATACCAGAGGGTCCATCAATCGAGCAGCCCCTGCCCAGCCTGAACCCAGCACACAGTGGATGGAGACAAAGTTCCTGTGATACACATGAAAGGTATTTTAGGCAAGACTGTTTGGATTAATCCCACTGCAGGCAGGGGCAAACCCATCCATGGGATTGTTTTTGCTCAGGGACCTGGTTACACTTGGTGGGTAATGCAGAAGGATGGGGAAACCCATTGTGTACAACAAGGAGATCTAATTTTAAGTGAGAACTGTGTGAAAAGTTTCATTCTGTATTTATATATATATGTAAGAGGATATTGGTTTGGGTATAGATAGTAAATGAATAAGGGGTGGATTATGTCCTGGGTTACAATATAAAGATGTGTTCTAGTCCCATCCTCAAGAGCTGTTGAAACCAAGAGGGGCATTGTTTTTTCCTTATCTCCTGTTAATGGGCCCACCAATACCTTTTCAGATGACTCAGAGATAACTCCCTCCAGGAGCCGTTTCTGTTTAATGGACCCAGGACATGACTCAGAAAATAACAGCCCATTGTGAGATGCTCCCCAGGGGGGAGGAGCTAAGCATCCCCACCTGGATATAATCTGGGCTTTGGCACACAACAAGCAGTCTTTCCACTGGATTCCCAGAGGAACAGCCACCCTTACCCACTGGATTTCCAGAGGACAAGAGCTACCAGATTGTTTCTACAGGATCACCACTTCAACAAGACCATTTCATCCGGACTGCTGCTACCACCCTAACCAGCATGGTGTCAGTTGCATTCTGACTGTCAGTGGTTTTTCTTTTGTATTATTCCATGTATTTTTTTCCCCTTTTCCTAATAAATTGTATTTCTGACTTGGAGTCTCTCACTGATTTTGCTTTCAAACCAAACACCCCTACCCCTCCAAATGCCTCCCATATTCCCCAAATACAGGTGGACACATGGGTCTCACCTGAACCTCACAACTATAAAGAACCTCATGGTAGTCAAAGAACTGACCCCCCCCAAAAAGTACCTCCTTGTGGTCAAAAACTGCCCCTGCCTCCCAAAATACCCCCTCCCCCACATACCCACAAACCCTTTCTAAACTGCACAAATAAAAGTGGGTGTAGGGGTCTCACCTGGGCTTTGTAGGTGAGCAGGGTGATGTGGGTGATGCTGTACAGGGTCATTTACACAGAGAACTTGATGGAGTTCCCCAAACAGTCTGATGTGGCCCCTGAAAGCATCAACCCTGTGAGTGCCCCACAGAGACCTCCAAAACTACCCCACAGACCCTCCCCAAATGCTCTTCAGGCACCCCTGACTGTCCCATAGTGACCCACAGCTGGCCCTGTGCCCCCCAGCCACCTCCCCACACCCTCTGTAGTACCTGTGATGGAAAAGCGCTTGCCCAGCAGGATGAGCATGAGGAGGAAAATCAGGAAACTGATGGGGTGGGGGGAGCTGCTGGCATGGGGGTATGGGGAGGGCTGGGTACTCCCCTTCATCACACCCCCCACATGAGGGTCTCTGCACCCCCACACCTCCTGTACTCCCCCAAGCCCCTCACTACCTCCCATGACCTCAAAGCGCCCCTGGTGCTCCCCCATATCCCCTATACTTTGCTGTGTAAGCCCTGCAAATGCACCCAAAGCCTTGAGCCCCATCAAATCTCAATATGCCCCTTGGACCTTGTGTCACGATCTGTCCTCGAGGACAAGATTCGTGGAGGTTCTTTTCACTGATCTCAGGGTGCAAAAACTGACAGGACAAGGGGGTTTTGCAGTGAAAATCAAAAAACAAATGTACCTTTATTGAATGACCACAGCAAAATGCTTTAGGGAGAAGGGGAATGAAGGAAAGGGAAAGAATAAGGAAAAAAGAGGGGAGGAAAAGAAAGGAGGGGTATAGCTAGCAGATGTGGGATGATGGGGTCCTTCGAAGTCCAGTTGACGAAGCCTGTCGCATGGATGCCAGGGGAGATCCCAAAAGCCCCTAGCTAACTCAGGGGTTTTTATTACTGAAAATTGCAAAGGGGGGAGAACAGATACAATAGTCCATGATCTCAGCAGTGGGCGAGAGCCGTTGTCTTCTCCGTCCAGTGGTCACTTGCAAACTTCCTTTGGCCACTTGGCCTCCCCACACACCTTCCCCCCGACCCGTGGTAGGGATTTCAGTCTCGGTCCTTGTGGAGGAAAGGGGAGCTTTTTCATATAGGGGTCTCATGTCTCAGTCCTTGGGGGAGAAAGACTTCTCTTACCTCAGTCCATCTGTCACGGTGGTTGATGTACAGTAAAAGGAAAGGTCTTTCTCATGGTGACCACTCAAAAGGTCATTCCAGAGAGAAAGTCCAGCCAAGTTAGGAGGTCGGGGAAATTCCAGAATCAGCGTTGCTAAGTGATGCAGGTGAAGGAGGGCACAGTGTCCCTTTCCTTATTCATTGAGTGCAGCGTCCCTGAGGTGGACAAACACACCTGTGGAAACATTGGCTTGGCTTGGTGGGTGACAATTCAAGCAGGATCAGGATCCTAGAGGAGGATCTTTTTCCCCGGTGGTCTCGGCTTTCATGATGATCGAGAGATGGAAGATAAGGAAAATTTCAGAGAGACACTCACACCTTGACACCTCCCAATCTCTGAAGATCCCCAAAATCCCAGTACAACTTCCCCAGACCCCAATGCTCTCCAGTCCCCACAGCTGCTGCTGGCTCCCACAAACCTGCCCATAGCCCCCCAGGTTCCCCCTTCATGCTCCACACTGGCAGCCACCATGAGCATCCTGCAGGTGGTATGGAGCAGCTGCCATCCCTAGACCAGGTCTGGGGGGACTGGGTGGAGAGCACAGGATCTCTGAAAGCACTGCCTCCCCCCAGGCCCCCTTGAAGCTCAGATTTCCCTCCGGCCGCTCCTCGATGAATAACGTAAGGATGACGATGAAGATGAGGAGGAAGGTGATGTCTGTCTCCAGAATGCCTGGGGAAGGTGGGGGGCGGGGCGAGAAGAGGTTCACCCCATGAAGCCCCCCAGTACCCACCAGGCTATCCACGGATGCCCCCTGCGTCGCAGCCCCACCATCATTCCCCTTGTTCCCCTTCTACTCCAACCCTTTCAGCTTCCTCAGACCTCAATAACCTCCAATATATTCCCCATACTGATGCACTCCAATCCTTGAACCCCCCAAACAGTCCTCCAGACCCTCATATACGTCCCCATCTCAATGCACCCCAATCCCTGAAGACCCCCAGACCATAACTCCCTAGAGAACCGCAGACACTGATGTACACCAATCCCTTCAGCCCCTCCAGACCTTCTAGACCCCGATAAGCCTCCTCAGACCCCCATAACCCCCAGTGTAGCCCCTGATCTCGGTGCACGCCAGTCCCCCTCCCAATGTCTTTCCCCCGGCCGCGGCGGCATTGATCTCATCAGCCGAGAGGGGCTGCGTCCGGAGGGAATCCCCGCTGGTCAGCACCATCTCGTACTCCAGCTCCAGCCCATCGCCCTGGGGGGAGATGGGGGAGCCCTGCCTTTGCTGAGGGCTACGCGCCACCACGGAGCGAAAGCTGCGGCAGCTGCACAGCACAGTCCCCCCCCCCAAACTCCATAATTCCTCCATGCACCCCAGTCCCTGCAGCCCCCAAATCCCCTGAGCCCGCTTATAATCCCCCAGACCCAAATATGCCTCCCCATCCCGATGGACCCCTACTCTCCCGCCCTGTGCGCTGGCCACGCCCCCTCCCGCAGGGCCACGCCCCCACCCCATGCTTGGCGGACCGTGCCCCCACGGACCACGCCCCCGGCATGGATGACGTCTTTGCCTAGGCCACGCCCGCAAGCCAGGCCACGCCCCGTGCCCGGCGCCGCGCCTCTGTCCCGGGCTGGACCGGGCCGTGCAGCCCCGGGGCGCTCCGTGCCGCCCGCTGGCACCGCGTACACCCGGTACAGCCCAGTGCAGCCCAGTATAGACCAATGCAGTCCAGTATAGCGCGGTATAAGAGAGAATAAGCCAGTACAGCCCAGTATTTCCCCCAAAGGAACCAAAACCAGGTGCTTCAGTCTGAGAAAGGAGAAGAGGAACAAAGAGCAGCACGTGGCAGCAGGGGGACGGTGCGGGGCGGGGGGAAGGGAGGAGGCTTGGGTGTCCCAGGGACCCCCCGGACTCCAGGAGTCTGCGCTGGAGGGGGTGACGCAGCTGTGTGGCCTCGTACCCCTGCCAGCCCCTCGGGGCCCCTTAAATCTGTCCAGGCGGGGTATCACTTTTAGTCACTACTGCCCCACCCATGTCACAGGGAGGTGGGTGGGGCAGTAGTGACTAAAAGTGATACCCCAAACTTCCCGTTTCTAACCCCAAAATCACCCAAAGCAGAGGCAGTGGCACGGTGGGAACTTGATGGGGAGCAGGGGGTCCCCAAAATCCCTGGGGACTGGGGGGCAAGGGGTCCTTGGGGTGTGTGGAGGTTCTTTGGCCCTGGGGGAGGTCCCTGGGCTGTGATGGGGGTCCCTGGGGTGTGTCTGCCTGGGCTATGAATGGAGGGGGTCTCTGGGCCCTGAAGGGAATCCCTGGAGTGTGTGTGTGTGAGTCCGTGGGGCATGGACAAGGAGTCCTTGGACGCAGAGTAGGGATCCTGGTGTTCTGGTGGGGGTCCCTGGGGTGTGGATGAGGGGTCCCTGGGCCCTGAGTGGGGTCTTTGGGATGGTGATGGGGTCCCTGGGTTGTGAGGGGATTCCCTAGGGTGGTGGGGATCCCTAGGGTGGTGGGGATCCCTGAGCCCCAAGTGTAGTCCCTGGGCATCGAGGGGACTCTCTATGATACCAAGGACATGCCTCATCCTACTCTCTCCCACTGCATCCAGGATGTCCCCAGGGTGAGGCAGGATGTGCACGCCACTGCTGGTGATGACGCTGGTGACACTGGTGATGGTGCCTGCAGAGGTCTCTCCCTATGGCTTCCACAACTGCATCCAGGCACCATGGGATCCTGGCCTGTTCCGCTGCATCCAGCGCTTCCTGAGCATTGTGGGGGCTGCAGTGGGTGACCTCCCCTCCACTGCCACATCCCTCAACCTCTCTGTCAACATCTTGCGCCAGGTGCCCTCCGGTGCCTTTGCCCACCTGCCGCGGCTCTACACCCTTGATCTGACCCACAACCAGCTGGAATTCTTGGCCCCAGGGGCTTTCTGGGGGCTGTCAGCACTGGCCCACCTAGACCTGGCCCACAACAATATGTCAGTGCTGGCCACAGGTGTGTTCACCGGGCTGGGCAACCTGAGCACACTGCGGCTGGACTACAATCCGCTACAGAAGGTGGCCCCCGGCGCTTTCTGGCCGCTGGCTGCACTCAGCACACTCCGGCTGCGGGGAGGCCGGCTCAGCGCACTGGAGCCTGTGGCCATGGCTGTGGGGAATCTGACACACCTAGACCTGCTCGACCTGTGTGGCAACATGCTGTCAACACTGGGCCCGGGACTGCCGCCCATGCTGAGGGTCCTGAACCTCTGCAACAACTCCCTGGGGGCTCTTTCAGGGGCCACTCCTGGGGTGATGCCCCCAGGGCTGCGTGTGCTCGACCTGTCCTACAACAACATCTCAGACCCTGCACCACTCTCTCACCTGTGCCTGAACAACCTGACATACCTACACCTGGCTGGGAACCCGCTGGATGTGGTGCAGCTGCTGCGCGTGCCTGGAGTCTCCCCGCACCAGCTGGATTTGTCAGGGCTGCGGGTGGGCGCAGGCGGCCTGGAATACCTGTGCCAGCAGCTGACAGGACAGCAGCTGCAGAGCCTGCAGCTACAGCGTATGGGGCTTGCATCAATGCCTGATGGGGCTCTGGCCAAGTGTCCGGTCCTGGATGCCCTGGATGTGTCTGGCAACCGGCTGCGGAAATTGGGCTGCGTAGGGCGGCTGCTGAACCAGGAGCAGCATGCAGCACTGCGCGAGCTGGTGGCTGAGCACAACTTGCTGCAGCGGCTGCCATCGTGCAGCAGAACCCCGGTTCTGCAGCAGCTGCACAACGTGTCCCTGCGCTTCAATCGCATCCTAGTGGCTGCTGCGGGTGCTTTTGACAATGCACCAGCACTGCGGCAGCTGCGGCTGGATGTGAATGAGCTGGCACGGCTGGACCGCGCAGCGCTGCGTGGACTCCGCCACCTGCGGCACCTGCGCCTTGACAACAACCTGCTCACTGACCTCCTGCCTGGCTCCTTTGCTGACCTGCACCAGCTGGAAGACCTCAACCTCCGCAACAACCGTGTGGCCGTGCTCTTCCCTGGCGCCTTCAAGGGGCTTGACCATCTGCAGACCCTTGACCTGGGTGGGAACAACCTGCGGCACTTGGCAGCCAAGGCATTCCAGGGCCTCCCGCGGCTTTGCCGGCTTTACCTGGACCGTAACCGGCTGCTGGAGGTGAGCGTGGCTGCATTCCAGCCGGTGCAGGTGACACTGGGCGTGCTGGACCTGCGTGCCAATGCGCTGCGCTACCTGAGCCGACACCTGCGGCAGCTGCCGCCTTTCCGCTACCTGCATAACCTCTATGACCTGAAGCTGCAGGCGCAGCAGCCACATGGGATGTGTGTGGTCCCACAACGCTTCTTCCAGGGCCTCAGTGCCTTGCGCTCGCTCTACCTGTCACAGAACTCGCTCTCAGCCATCCCTGCCGATGCCTTCGATGACCTGGCACAGCTGCAGTACCTGACGCTGGCTGACAGCAATGGTGGGATGGGCTACCTGCCTGCTGGCATCTTCAAGAACCTGAGCCAACTGCGCAGCCTGAACCTGGAGAGTGCAGGACTGCGCAGCCTTGGCCCTGAGGTCTTTGGCAACCTGACACAACTGAAGGAGCTGCGCCTGGCCAAGAATGAGCTGCGTACATTGGATGTGACTCTGACCACCCGCCTCCCCGCCCTGCGCTATCTGGACCTGCGCAAGTGCCCACTGAGCTGCAGCTGTGCCAATGCCTGGCTGCCTGCCTGGCTGGCGCATGGGCCTGTGCAGGTGGTCTACCTGTATAACTACACGTGTGGTGAGATGGGTGGGGCCTCCAGATACCTGCACTGCTTTGACACACGTGTGTGCTACCTGGACATGGGGCGGTACCTGTTTGCAGGGACAGCACCGGCTGTGCTGCTGTTGCTGGTGCTGCCGCTGCTGCACCACCGTGGGTACTGGCGACTGCGCTACCAGCTGTTCCTGCTGCGTGCGTGGGCACGTGGGCACTGGCGGCGGGAGCAGCGGCGCTACACCTACGACACCTTTGTGTCCTACAACTCCGGGGATGAGCAGTGGGTGCTGGAGGAGTTGGTGCCTGAGCTGGAGCGCGGAGCCCTGCGGCTCTGCCTGCACCACCGTGACTTTCGGCCCGGCCGCGCCATAGTGGACAACATCGTGGATGCTGTGTACAACAGCCGGCACACGGTGTGTGTGGTGAGCCGCGGGTACCTGCGCAGCGAGTGGTGCTCACTGGAGATCCAGATGGCCAGCTATCGCCTCTTCGATGAGCTGCGCGATGTCCTTGTCCTCATCTTCCTCGAGGACATCCCTGAGGCCGAGCTCTCGGCCTTCCACCGCATGCGCCGTGTGCTGCTGCAGCGCACGCACCTGCGCTGGCCCTCTGAGCCCCCTGCACAGCCCCTCTTCTGGGCAAAGCTCAGGTGTGCCCTGAGCAGGGGGGAGGAGGAGGAAGAGGAGGACAGGGAGAGGGGGGGCAGGGAGGAAGGGTGCCCTGGCACATCTGGGACCCCCGGGGAAGTTCTCCCTCGGGAAGGAAACCTTCTGCCCCAGAATCACTGTTTTTTATCTGGGGAAGGTGTCCTGGGGAGTAGGGGTGATGGCAGCAAGGAGGAAGAGGAGAATGAGGAGAGGAAGACAGGGGGCAGGGAGGGAGGCTGCCCTGACAGGACTGGGATCACTGTGGAGGTTCCCCCCCAGAAAAGCAGTTTTCTGCCCCAAAATCACAGGCTTTTCTCTTGGAAATATGCTCTGCACAGTGGAGATGAAGATAACAAGAAGGAGGAGGAGGAAGAGGAGGAGAAGGTGGGGGAGGAGGAAAAAGGTTGCTGAGAGAGAGAGCACCTGCTGTAGAGTGACCTCACCCTGGTGTAATGGGGATCCCCAGCGACATTCCAATCAAAAAAATGTGGTTTTGTCCCAAAATCCCTGGTTATCTCTGAGAAATGTGCAGTTGGAACAATGGTAATGAGGAAAAGGGGAAGGAGGAGGAGGAAAAGAGGGAAGCAAGATGGACCTCAATGTTTAGATGCAGCAAATGCTTCATAACTCAGTTCCTTTTCCCGGCACGTGGGAGCTGCAGCTCTTGCACATCTGGGTCATCCTGGTGTTATAAATGCGAAGCTTGACTAGGCCAGTATTCAAGCAGTAATCAATTTATTAATTAATATGGTAAAGTATGAGCAATACAGAACTGGGTACAGTGGGGGAAGTTTTCCCTCCAACTGCACGTCAATAATTGGGGCTTACAGATATTTATAGGGGTACTCATAAGCTTTCTCAGCAGTTTCTATTCCAAATTTTTACATCACAATTCTACACACTATTGTGATTTAGTTTTTCTCAGGATGTATCCCAGAAAGGAGTATCCCCAGATGGTGGGGGTCCGGCTTCCGAAAGAAGAAAGAAGTCTCCCAGCTGGTGAGGTCCAGATTCCAGATGCGGGTTCACCTTTTAATTGCGAGGACTATAAATCTCATAGCAGTGATGTCCAGCTTCCCTTGGTCGAAACTATCAATCCTTGAGTTGATGTTCATCTTCCTTTCTCAAGCTGCTTTTCACTGTTTTGTTGAAGCGTCGAGATAAGCATGTTTCCTTTTTATATATTCTAAAGCTATAGTTTCAAAGATCCTTACTACAAGTAATATTCTAAAATTATACTTCAAAAGGTTATTATTGCTCACTCCCAGCCTGCCGTGTCAGTCAGGCTCACCTTGGCCACACGCAGATTCTCAGCGAAGCCAACAGCGGCGTCGGTCCCACTGCTTCACCTGGATCTGCAAGGACAGAGATGGCTGAAGCTATGGCTCCACACGCCCCTGGGGAGGTTGGTTGGAGCAAGTTGCACTAGAAGGACCGGGGCTCTGTGTTTCCCATGGAATGGGTCAGTGAATCACACTGGAAGATGGGGCAGGAGTAGGAGAGGAACCTGGCATGCTGTGAGGATGAACTAAACATCTGGGAATGACGCAAGGAGCAAAGCCAGGGAAAGGATCTGGCAGGAAGGGACAGAGTTATGGAAAACAATCAGCATCTCCCATGTTTAGTGGTGGAGGATAGTACAGCTGGTTGGGTTTCCAGGGCTCTGGAAAAGCACCCAGACACCTGTTTTACTCCCCTACAAGTAGCAATGGATGAGGCACTAGATACAGGCTGAAGCGATAGCCAGAGCCTCCATCTGCCCAGGCAAGTGTGACAGCCCTGCAAATTCAGGGAAGTACATGGCTGGAATTTAAATCCACGGGCAAGTTTGCACCAAGAAACTGGGGAGCATTTTGACAGTCAGAGTCCTGGGGTGCGTAATTCCCAATTCAGTGCTGAGTGGGCCAGCCCTGGGATGTTATCTCAGCAGCTTCCTAGCTTCATTTCCAGCACTGATTGGAGCAATACCACAGCCAGCAGCACTCCCCTGGAGGATGGCATGGGAGTGGGAGGAGGTGGCATCGGACTTGGTGTGGTGCTGCACTGGTTTCTATTGCCCTTGGCCACCATCTCTAGGATCTGCTCTGGTGATGTAGGCTGGGAGAGAACGGGCACAGAGATCAGCAACGCCGATGCAGCATCCAGACACCCCAAAGTAAGCAGCCCCAGGCACTCAGGCTGAGGCATCCTGCAGCTCTGCAGGCTCTGTGACAACTTGGGGTCACATCTGCTGCCAGCCAGGAGCTGTGCAGGTGTCACCCTGAGATCTTCACACCCCCTGTGTCCCCAGGACTGGAGAGAGAGGAGTGGAGGGGGAGAGGAGGGAAGGGGAGCTTCTTGCAGCAGCCCCTGTGCCAAGGGTCACTCCCAGGCTGGGCTGGGATGAGGCAAAGCTTATCACCCTCCCTGCTCCCCTTTAGGGCAATTTTTCTCCCTGTTTCAGCCTCTTCAATGCAGCAGAGACAAAAGGAGTTGCCAAACCAGCACTGCTGTGATGTGGAGTTCACCCTTGAACCTTCCCCTGAACAAGGTGATAGCCCCATTCTCATGTCACTCCCCATGAGGTGTTTCTGCTTTCAGACCTTCTCATTCTTCTTGTTTGCATCCATCTTCCCACACCCCTTTGAAGTCTCCCCACCAGCATGGCCATCCTAATTTCAGCCAGGACAGAGTCGCTAAAATAGAGTTTTTTTTTGGGGTGTTGCTGTGGGTATTTCTAGGAGGTTATTCAGTACCATCTTATTTGCCAGGGGTAAGGGAAAAGGACTGTCTCCCTTGCTTCTAAGAGGAAGGGGTTCCTTCTTTGAGGAGAAACCATCGGTATTGTCACAGATTTTCTGTGTAGATTTTTTGTCTCATTATGGTCTGTTAATGAGCTGTTGTCATTAATATTGTTTCTATCGCTGTTTTCTTATTTCATTGCTGTTTCCAGTAAATTGTTCTTGTGTTAAACTGTGATCTTTGCCTTTTGTGCTTCCAGCTGGAGGGGTCAGGGAAGCAAGAGCCACTGCAGTTTCAGTATACGCATTGAAGTATGGAATGCTGTTCTTAAAACATGACAGCCTTAATTGCTGCCCAATGTGAGGCACAAAGGGTTGAGATAACAACAGACCTGTCTAGAGCTGGTTGAAAACAAATGTGATGTAAGCCTTTGTTGTATTATGTGCAGAGCCAGTGGTCACAATGTTGCTTGGTCAGTTCACGTGGGTGTGGTACCTAACCCAGTATGTATTCCCGTATGCCCTTTTTCAGAGCAGGGAGAGGGATTAGGATTGCTTTGTTGCTGTACTCTCGGATATCAGTTTATGACATGGTAACATCAAGGGCAGTGAGGGTCATTTGGGATGTGTATTCAGTGCTGCTCTCCTGCCCTTGCCTAGAGTGCCACCTTTGGGAATCCATTAATAATAGTACCCAGTCTGTGGGGGTAACAGGGGAGGATGATTTTCCCCAGCCTTTCACCCAACTTTTCCTCCTTCAGGCCTGGTACAACAACTTTTGAGAATTTTGAATTCCCTTTGGGTGCTAAGGAAAGTATGTTCTTGTTGCTGTGTCTGCCAGGCCTCCTCAGTGTCCATAACATGTTTAAAATGACAAAAGAAATTTTTGTAAAGACCATTCAGAGATCTTCCCTGAGGGAGGATAGTCAGGAGAAATGCAGGAGGACAAGAGCCAGTGTTTGGAGGATTTCTCTGCTCCAGTGGTTTGGAAGTTCACCCCTGGTAACTACAGGACCCTAGTAAAGTGATAAAATATATGAAAGAAAAATGGTGTAGTGACTCCAGAGAGGCACAAAGTTATGCAATGTCCTGGGCCCTGGCTACTATTTACCAGCCACTGTTCATCACTAGACAGCACCCTCAGGGGAAGGAGGAAGGCAGAGCAACAGGCACTGTGGGCACTCCAATTGCAGCTGAACCACAAGCACAACATGCTGGGAGCAGTTGTCCCTATACAGAAGAAATCCAAGACCAAACCAGTTTGCTCAGTGAGGGATGAAGTGGAAGCAGGGACCTCACAACAGGAGGGAGGTACAGATGGGGTCCAGGGCACACGATCCATGTGGCAGAAGTTTGTAAGAAGCCCACCATCATTGTATACCGTCACTGGCAGTGATGCTGATGAAAGAAGGAAAGCAAACGGTGCTTCAGGTGACTACCCAGTGTGGGAATTGGGAAGATAGAAATCTTCACAGACTCAAGAGGGTTTGATTTACAGCCTAAGAGGAAGTCTAGATTGATGTGAAAGCAAGGTACACAGACATTGAATAGAAAAATCATAAACTTATGCTTCTATAGTTATAAGCAAGAGTATGCTTTAAGTAAGAAACTGTATTAGATAAGATGATGAAGGGTTTTAGAGTGCAGTAATGTAGTAATGTGATTGTATAGAATAACCTGAAAATTTAGATGTTATAATAGAGACGTATGTGTGTATATGTAATAAGACCTTATTGGACAAAAGTATCTGCATTGCAGTAGAAAGAAGTAAAGGGGATAGATTAGAAAAGCAAAACATACTCTGTGTCAACTGTCCATTGGATTAGAAAGTTATATACTGTCTTGCAACAAAGAACTTGTGACCATCTCAGACTTTGGCCGACTGCTTGCTGTCTTATAAATCTCATGGCCTTTGAGACTGATGTTATCTAAGCAATAAATCATTCTTAGTCTGATCGTGGTCCCGTCCCTTTGACTAATGCGACAACAGCTACAACCCAGCTTTGGCAATATGAAGATCTTTACTTCTCCCTACTGACCTATGCGTTGGCTGTGGAAAGAATGTCCAACTGAAGACAGATTTGAAAGACTTGAGCAAACTAGAGAGGAAATGTCCCATGCCCTGCCAGTATGGACCAGAGTCTCTGCTATTGGGAGCAGGCAAAATCCCGGTCAGGAGAGGGGAGACACACTACGAAGTAACCTGTGGTTTTAACCGTGTGACCATGAAGAGGACACGAGGAAGTGGGATTGAAAACCCATCTCTGCCCCAGCAGCATGGGTGAGTTGAGAGGAAGAACACCACCACAGAAAACTCAT